TATTGCATTCAGTATTTCTAGATAACAGCTCATTTGAACCCCCTCTCCCTCTGAAAGCCCTCCAATGAAAGAGAATCAAATATAACCTAAACACCAAGCATTTAGATATTACGGTGGCAGGACTCCAATGTATCGCTATTCAGAAAACCAACTGGCACATTCCGCATGAAACTTTGACTTAAACAAGATTATGAATTAACTAACCAAAATCACGGATTGCCTTCAAATTGGAAATATCCACACCGAACACTAAGATTATTTTCACTAATAAGAAAAAAACAAGGAAAACGAAAGAAAAACCTCCAAGCTGCGGAAATCCAGTGCCTCAACTCGCTCCATAATATCATTCAATCTACCAGGCGTCCCTATCAACAAATTCGCCCCTTCCTCTTCTATTTTAATCATATCAGCTTTCACTTCAGCTCCTCCGACTAAAAGTATCGGCCTCACTTTCGATAATGTCGAAATAAATGGCTCTGCCACCTTAAATATCTGAGATGCTAACTCCCTTGTAGGAGAAATTATCAACCCCATTACCTGAAAGTAATCAAAACAACAAATTAACCACCAACTATAAACATAACAAGTGTTCCCCTTGTGAAAATGTCAAAAAATGGACAAACAGCCAAAAATCATTAATAAAGAAAAACAAATTAGTGAATTAATATGTTGTTCTAAATACTACTTCCACCTAAGATCATATATGAATTGGTCAAAAAGTAAGCTATGCATTTGAGTTAATAAGATACCTGGTGTGGCTTGGGCGGGCCTTGGCGGCGGAGAATCTCGACGAGGGGGATTACAAAGGCTAGGGTTTTCCCCGAGCCGGTGGCGGCGTCCACAGCAACGTCCTTGAAGTTGCATAGCAAGGGTATGGTAGCGGCCTGAACAGGGGTGCAGAACTCGAAACGGGACAAGGTTAGTGCTTCGAGAACAGCTTCCGAGAGTGGAGGGTCTAAGTCGGAGAATCTGGTGGTTGTCAGCGCTTTGTTTGGGTTTTCGTCCTCAGCCGCCATGGTATTCTCTTTACTCGCCTGCACTCTGCAATGTAAACAGATCGTTAAATGTAAAGTACGGTTTTTTGTAAAATATATATATATATATATATACTATTTTTTAATAATTATTTGCATTTATATATTACTAAAACTATTTTAAAAGAAGTGTTCATGGCATCTCAATCAATCAATCAACAAGCTATTAAAATCCCACTAAGAGGGGTCGGCTATATGGATCACGTGTCACCATGGTGCTCGATCAGAGCACATATCCTCATTCAAATTTAAATATTTTAAATCATTTTTCATTGTCTCTTTCCAAGTTTTCTTCGGTCTACCCATCCCACTTTTAATTTGTGTTCTTAATTCTAATGTTTCTACCTTTTTCTCATCAGGGCCTCGAAGTCTCTCCTACGCACATGTCCAATCCATCTTAATCGAGATTCTCTCATTTTTTTTCCTCTATGGGCGTTACCCCAACTTTATTTCTAATACTTTCATTTCTAATCTTACCTAACCTAGTATGCCCACACATCCATCTCAACATTCTCATCTCTGCCACTCGCATTTTTTTGATCATTTTCATATTTAGTAGCCCAACACTCGGATCCATGAAGCATCGTCGGTTGAATGGCAGATGATAATATATAATTATTTTCATGTTTTATATCACGAAATTTAATGGGATTGATTTGTCTTCCGTAATTTTTAAGACTTCGCTTTAGAAGCATATAATGATTTACGTAGATGTTTTACAGTAAAACAAAGAATAAACGAAAAGGCAAAGAAGCTTAAAATACTATTTTGTACAATATCTTAAACCATACTAAATATAAATACAATATTTTTTTACAATATCCTGCCCCATGGTCCCGACTTAGCCCGTGACCCACGACAGGCCGAGCAGGTCGGGCCCATGACCTGGCCTGTAATGGGGGCAGGCTGTCCGCCCCACCCCTGCCTTTTTTTTACCCCATACTGTCTATAAAACAAATCATCAACCACATATAATCATTAGCACACCAATAAAGACTATGCACCAATCACTATCTTATTTTCATATCCATATTCAAAAATCTCTCTTTTCATATCCATATTCAAAAATGCTCTTTTATTAAAATAGGACTACACCAGGGGTCAGCATTGAGCCCTTATCTATTTGCCTTGGTGATGGATGAGGTCACAAGGAATATACAAGATGATATCCCTTGGTGTATGCTCTTTGCTTATGATGTGGTGCTAGTTGACGAGAGTAGAGCAGGGGTAAATAGGAAGTTGGAGCTGTGGAAGGACGCATTAGAGTCGAAAGGCTTCAGACTTAGTAGGACGAAGACCGAGTACATGACGTGCGCTTTCAGCATGGCTTCACATGATGATGGTGACGTTACCCTTGACGGGCAAGTGGTGGCCAAGAAGGAGACTTTCCGGTATTTTGGATCGATGCTACAAAAGGATGGTGGCATTGATGCAGATGTTAGGCATAGAATTGCAGTCGGTTGGTTGAAATGGCGTCAGGCGTCGGGCGTTCTCTGTGATAAGAGGGTGCCACAAAGGCTAAAAGGTAAGTTCTATAGGACGGCGATTCGCCCGGCGATGCTATACGGTGCTGAATGTTGGCCTACAAAAAGGCAACATGTCCAACAACTAAGTGTAGCAGAGATGCGTATGTTGCGTTGGTTCTGCGGGCACACAAGAAGGGATAGAATCCGGAATGAGGATATTCGAGATAGGGTCGGGGTGGCTCCAATTGAGGAGAAATTGGTTCAACATCGACTGAGGTGGTTCGGACATGTCCAACGGAGGCCTCCTGATGCACCGGTGCGTAGGGGAGTTCTACAGCAGGTCGAGGATGTTAAGAGAGGTAGAGGTTGGCCTAAACTCACTTGAGAAGAGTCGGTTAAGAGAGACCTTATAGAGGAATATCTCCAAGGATCTAACGGTGGATAGGAGCACTTGGAGGCTCGCTATCAACGTGCCAGAGCCGTGACTTCTGCTCCTTTCTCTCTCTCTCTCTCGTTTTTTTTTTTTTTTTTTGATCTCTTCCTTTCGGTTCGAGTCTTTTTGTGTTTCTCTTGGGTTTCATCTCTAGCCTACCCCGACTTGCTTGGGACTAAAGGTTATGTTGTTGTTGTTGTTGTATCAAATTTTCCCATAATTGCTTTTAAATTTACCACTGAACAGAATGAACAAAATTACTGAAGGTTCAAGCTCAAGCAATAACTCCTAAGGCAATAAAAAAGAATTGTGTCACATAACATTTATCACATAATTTACCCAAGGTATGAGTGAGCCGAAAGTAAGAACAAATGCACTCAAAGAAATCAATTCAACGGATAGGGTGAAAGAGCAGCAGGTTACAGAATTTGAAGAAATCACCTCAAACCGATAACATGTTTCCAATTAAGTTTATGCTAATTATACAAACACCTTTCTTCACCTCAAACCCATAACATGTTTCAATTAAGTTTATGCTAATTATACAAACACCTCATGATGTAGGGAAGTGTACGAGTGGGAAAGATAAACGAGATACTCTCTCGATAAAACCAATCAAATGTTATTTCATTCAAAAATCAACTATCTCAAATAATAGATAGGGCTCCCATAAACCCTAGTCATTGACTTGTCCACCAAGCCAAGATAAATAAAAACAATTAATAATAATAATTAATAATCAAGACTACTACTAATAATAATACTAATATTATTCTACACCATTCTCCTCCGGTTCGGAAGGCTTCGCCCTCGAAGCCGACGTGCTCCCGTGGCCGGTGTGTGGAGGTGAACTCATGGTATTAATCCTCGCCGTTTCCTCCTATCGAACTATCGAACACGAAGGTTGAATAACACTGTGATCAACCTTGGCTAGCCACGAAATCCTCGGCTGACGTTCTCCTCTCCTCATCTGGAGTTACCCGGCCAACACAAACAAATATTTCGGAACCACAATCCAATAAGTACCAGTTTTTGTTTCCGAGAAGTGAGTTGGAAAGTTTACCATTGAATCCAGATGCAACACCATCGTCAAGGGTTATGAAACATGGCTTAAAAGATGACAAAAATTTGGCAGACTTGTGTCCTTGGAATTCTCTATACTGCACAGCACGACCACCAAAAATCGCATCGAGTTCAAGGGTTTTGTTAGTAGTAGATCCATCTGCATCCTCCGACCCCGGAGGTTCCTCATCGAAAATCGGCGGACCATCGTACAATGGCCCGTCAACTTGCTCTTCGTCGAATTTGGGAATGTCAACGAGAAATGCCCTCCCACTGACCATATTCGCGATCAAGTCCCCAATCGTGTCGGGCACGATATTAGCCGACAAAGGCAGCCTCCTCGCGCCTGCCTCTGTCGCGTTGATCGTCGCCATCCATGAAGACCGGGCCTCATCGCCGCATGTCAGTGCCGTAGCGAAGGGGTCAGCCTCGACGTGCGAGGTTGGAAAATCGTCGAAGGGATTCACCTCTGAGACTGTCTCCTCGCCGTCTTTGTCGTCAGCCGGTGGTTGTGGAGATCTCCAGCAGGGCGCCTCGCCTGAACCACGGCATCCACTTCCTCCGCGAATTCCACTGCAAACGCCTAGTTGCCGGCGTCACGGTACGTTTTCTTGTCCCGAACCACGGTACGGAAAGTTAGTCGTATGTCCCCGATCTCTGTGGACAGATCTGCAATCTCACGACCCATCGTCTTGAGCTGACGGCCAAACCTCTCGGTCCGGCGGCTCAGGTAGATGGCGGCGACACGCCTGTCGTTTGCAGCATCTTGTCGTCGCGACAGCATCGTGAATCGTGTTGACTTCGGATACCAGCTGATGTAGAGAAGCGTACGAGTGGAAAGATAAACGAGATAGTCTCTCGATAATACCAATCAAATCTTATTTCATTCAAAAATCAACTATCTCAAATAATAGATGGGGAGTCCTTTAAATAAGGCTCCCATAAACCCTACTCATTGACTTGTCCACCAAGCCAAGATAAATAAAAACAATTAATAATAATAATTAATAATCAAGACTACTCATAATAATAATACTAATATTATTCTACACCACCTCACCAATCACCTTTGGGCCAAACTACTAAAGAAGAAATATCAAAATGAAGAAACATAGAAGCACCAACACACAAAAAGAAATACACACTTTCAAAGCACTTTAATGTAAAATTAACGAACCACGTTGTGGGAAACAGCTAGCACTTTAAAAGAAGTGTTCAAGCCATATGATAACTAGGGAAGGCAATAGGGCCAAGTCGGGCCAGGTAGTAACTGAACAACTGCAGATAGCTTGAATACTAAGCAAAAGTCACAACAATCAAAATACGCATAATCATCAATGAGATTATCCGCATATTGTCTTACGGCAAGTGTGGTGATAAAAAAATATTTGTTATTTTAT